AGAGCGATCTTGCAGCATTTCCTTACTCCTGATTTACTATATTTATACCCCACTTCCCACCCCACCAAAGGAACCCAAGACTGCACCCTCACCCACCACCCATCCCCAGACAGCAAGGAACGATGGGAGCTGTAGTCCAAAACTTATGGAAGGAAATGGATTGTTTCCCTGCTGTATCAAGATGCAGAAATTTAAGCTTTCTCCCTGCAAGACTGAAGGAGGCCACAACGCCCTATTTCCCCCTCCCTGCTCCCTGCCAGCACATTATTCCCGTGGAGATATGTCCTAGGAAATTGGATGGCCCTAATTAATGACTCATTAACTGACACTGACATTGCCCCTTATCCTAATTTATTAATATCAGTCTTGACTCTTCCATCTCTTGCAACTTAAAAAGATGCAAAGCATTTTAAAGAGAAAGCAGCCGTATTTCAAGATTGCATTGGAAGAAGTCCAGACGTCTTGGGATCTTAAATCTCTACAGAATCTCCTTGCCTCTGAAACCCTGGGGAGGGGGGTGGGTGTGCTGGCTTCATGCTCAAGAGCCACTGCCTCTGCCTCAAGAACTAGAAACCTGCTGTTGAAAACAAAAGACAGACACACACACACACACCCCACCACAAAGCTATACAGTACTTCATAAGGGTCGGCATACACCATATATAGCGCTCTGGGGGCGAGTCCACTTTCATTATCTCTGAGTTTCCCTGCAGTGCTATGTCTTTGAAAGAAAAGCGGGCTTGGGTGCACACACCAAGTGCGTTCTCACAATATGCTAAGCTAGGCTTTGCTAAGTCACCATTAGCTGCCTTCACACATAGCCATAAACCAAACTCCATAGTTTAGGTATGAAAGCTGACCACGTTCAAACGTTTAAACAAGGCAGTTCGGAGATGCAACATACATTCACACACATAACGGAGACGGATCATAAAACGCAGGCAGAATATCAGAGAAGGGCCATAACTCAGCAACAAAGCATCAGTTTTCCATGCAGGCAAGCCCCAGGTTCGATTCCTGCCACCTCTCTTTAAAAGGGATCAGGGGCCATGTGGAAACAAGCCTAATCCCTGGAGAGGTATACTGAAGAAAAATAACAACCCTACGATTGCTAATCAGAGTCGGAGGCTTCTCCGACAGACAGCTAGTTAGACCTGGAATAAGAGCTTCTTCCCTTCCCAGTTAATCTTCGTAATCCTGAAGGCGAGAACCTTGATTAAAAAAAGAATAAATAAAAGCTAAAGTTTTGCTTGCCGGCTACCTTCAGCCCAGAGAGCCCAAAGTCTCTCCTATATAAGGAAGGACCCTAAGGAGAGTCGCTGGTAAATATGGACAGCTGAAGAACAAGCCGGCTGCCTTCCCCACTCCCTTTTTTTTTTATGAGTGACAAATTTAATGTCATGCCTGAAGGAAGCCGGGAAGGAAAGGCAGCCAAGGGAGAATCAAAGGCAACTGGATGTATAATTACAGAGAGAGATTTCTTCTCTTTTAACATAAAAAGGCTCCAGAGCCACTGAGCAGGAGCAAAGCATAAAGTTGTATCAGGTTTTCCCAGGACGCAATACAGTCGGCTGCTTCCATCCTGCCAGCTTGGCAGCGTGAAATCAATGCGCCCCGGCAGGATTTAATTTCTTCCTCTCCCCCTTCTTGGAAGCCCCGCATTCCCCGTCTCCCCCCACCTGGCAGAAAACAAAGGCCGGGAAAACATTTGGGTTCACGTGAGAGCATATTTGCTTTGTTTTTTTAATGCGCGGCTACGTAGGGGTGAAAGAGAGTTAAGCAAGATCACACCGGATTGAGGTTTGGATAGGAGACCACTAGGAAATCTCATGGCTGTGGGCTAGATGGGAAGGCGGAAGCAAAGTCTCTGAAGAAGACAGTGGCAAACCAGTTCCACACTGTTGAGAAGAAAACTTCATGGATGTGGCTATGAAGTCACCAAGAACTGGATTCAGTTTAAAAGAGACGGTACCTTGAGAAAAATATTCAGACAGGTATACACGAACCGATCTTTCTCACTGAGTTGGTTGGTGAGACTGGGGCCAGGAGTCCTTTTGTGAACATCTAAACGCTTCTCCCCTGTCAGGCTGAAGTTAAAGTCCACACATCTTAAAGTTGCCAAGGTTGAAAAAAACTGTCTAAATTGACCCCAATGAAGTACCTGGATATATGCCATGGCTGCCTGAAATTACACTGGAAGACTAATTTTCCTGCCCCTGCCATCCAACCCATTTCTGGGAAGGGAGTGGCAGAGAAAATCAATGTTCACCTGTCCGTGTTTGGGAGACCTGGACAAAGTCCTTCACACGGTAGCCAGTTTACATGCAAGCCCTTTGCGGTGACATGAAATACCAGCCAGGGTGTCCTCAAACCAAAGGGTGGGAGCTGAGGGAGGAGCATATAAAGATCAGAGGGAAGCTACAACCTCCTTCTCTCCACAAAGTTTGGGCAACAGCTACAACCGTCTGGCACTTAGCATTTGAACCGCACCATCATGAGTCAGTGCTAGGAGCTGCCTTGGGCACTAGATGGTAGAAAGGGGAAGCATTTGCCCCGCCTTTCTCCTACTTACAGTTCCTGGCGATTGCCTGGACCAGTCCCTGCAGTTTTCTTGGCAAGATTTTCAGAAGTGGTTTGCCATGAAATCCTTGGAAAAGATATTCAAATGCCATGATGTGCCTATACCTACAAAGATCAGAATCATGCAAGCCATGGTTTTCCCTGTGACACTCTATGGAAGTGAAAAATTGGACTTTGAAGAAGCAAAATAGGAAGAGTAATAACACCTTTGAACTTTGGTGTTGGAGAAGGCTCCTGAGAATACTGTGGACAGCCAAGAAAACAAACAAATGATCATCAAACAAATCAACCCAGAGTTCTCACTCGAGGCACAAATGACCAGGCTCAAATGATCCTACTTTGGAACCATTATCCAAAGACCCAGCTCTCTGGAGAAGGCTCTAATTCTGGGAAAGGTGGACGGAAAGAGAAGAAGAGGATGACCAGAAGCAAGATGGATTGACTCAGTTACTCACAGGTGATGAGTGCATCATGGAAGACCTGAAAGACCAAGTTAGGGACACATCATCATGGAGAAAATCTGCGTGGTCACTAAGACTCAACAGTAACTTGATGGAACATAATCAATCCATCAACTTACAGTTCCTGGTGGACAGGAACCCATGACAGTTGGATTGAAAGTCTACCCTACACCCCAAAGCCTGTTCTTTTCAATGAAATGAAGACAGTTGCCCAGTCACCAGCTTACATATATTGTCTTAAATAAATTTCCCGTCACCTTTGAATTTCTGTAATCCTCAAGCGCCCTCTAGTGTTCAAAAGAAGCCAAACCAGCAGGGTCTAATGGCCATAAAGTGACTTGATGTGCCATAAATCAGGAAGATTCTGATGGAACCTTTCCAGATGAACAGTTTTTAATAAAAGGTAGATGCCTTAGTAAATGACAAGTCTCTTCACTGGATGCATGGAGCCTATAATGTGGTTTGTTTGGTTTTGGTCCTGGGTCCAAAAAGAAATCTCTGGGTCAAGTATGAGGTCAAAGGCCCTCTTCCTTAATTCTATACCCTTCACCCTGCTGTCCCTTTCTCTGAGCTACTGTTTTGGACAGGAGAGGCATCGGAGTTCTAGCTATGATAGTGGCTGCCAACAGATGGAGCCAGCCTGAAGCCTTCCCAGAAATTAACAAATTAGGTCTCCCACACACCGAAGCACACAGAAAACCCCAGCACGCTTTGCTAAGTTTGACTGGTGAGTTCCATGTTCTGTTTTACACTCTTGATGCAGACCCTTGTTGCAGCCCAGAGTGCCCTTGTAAGAGCAAGGCAGGCTGGGATTTTTAAATTATGGTTATTCAGCAGGCGAAGCTGAATACCAGGATATTAGAAGCTATAAGGCTGTAAGAACAATGCTCGACAGGGCGGCTGGAACTCAAGAGCAGAGCCGGACGTCCGGGACTTGATTCAAGAGAAAGCCGTTGTGTTCATTGCTTACATTTCGTGATTTCTGAAACCTTTTGCCACAAGAGGAGGAAGAGGTGGTCTCTGTTTTCTTTTCATCTTTGTTACTCTTACTTCTCCTATTGCTTTTCAGGGGCCCTGCTTGGGTTTCCAAACCACTGGCATGCAGCCCGCCTGAGTTCCCGGTCAGCTGGGAACAAAACTTTCATTGTTTTTGCTGACAGATTTCTGGCTTAAGTTCTTTAGATTATCTACATACTGTTCTCCACTCAGGAAAGCATATGAAGTCCAATAGGCCAGGAGCACAGAAGATACATACCTACTCCTGGAAGACCCAGCATCTGGCGAACGCTGTAGAATTGCCCTAATGTTGCTAGGCAACTGCAGTCTTATTTTCCCCCATGTTCTCCATGATCGGCCAGGGATCATTTAAGAGTCCGAGGAGGAGAATCCAGAGGAATGAACAATATTGATCACATTGAACTATATTTATTTGCGAGAGAGCTAGGGTGACTCTGACCATAAAGCGGGGTCTGACAGTTGCCATGGGGGTGCAAGATCTTGTGACGGGTTGTGAGATTTCGGGGCAAGGCTATTGAAATCTCAGAAGATTCAGTGCTATATTGGGGTGGCAAAGTCATGCTCTTCGTGAGGTTGCGTCCTGGTGCCCCAGCGGCCAGGGGGGAAAAAATCCTGACCTTTGAACTTCAACTCCAATGACTGAAGTTCAGCAGAATAGGTGAATCCAGCATGGATACTGGAAATCTTCCTTGTGAAATTTCTTTCTCCTCTCTTCCCCTTCCCATCAGAGCAGCCTCCAGTTGACGGAGCCGAAGGAGGCAATGGTAAACGCTCCAGGTGGCTTGGACTACCATCCCCAGAACAGCCAACCCCTGTTTCTGTTGATGGGGGCTTAAGGAAGGCCCTAACGAGCGCATCTGGAGACCATTTTCCCCAGCAGAAACACCAGACCTAATGTTCACACACAGCCAACAGGAAGAAGAGAAAGCTTGGCTCTCGCACCTGACTTATACACGTTCCGGAGGCAGGACAGAGAGGCGTTGAGCCGAGCGGATTCTTCCCAGGTGGCCCCGAACTTCTCCACCGTCTTGCAGACCTGCTCGTCTGTCATCTCTAAAAGGTCTTCCAGACTCAGCTGGCCGGATGTGATTTCCTAGAGGAAGCGAGACGCAGAGTTGTAAGGAGATTTAATCTGTTACAGAGGTTAGCAACGGATGGCTTGCTGGCTAAAACCTGCCCATGTGAGGAACGTTTATTGATGAAAAGAGGATCCTGCCAAAGAATGTTGCAACATGGAGCACTGCAATTGATATTCCCACTGCTCCATTCCACTCAGAATTTCCTCCTAGCTTCCTACTCCCTGCTCCGATCAGCATTATCTCCTACTCTCTGTTCAGTCCTTCTCAGCTTATTTTTATTTATTTATTCAATACATTTATATAGCCGCCCATCTCACTTAAGCGTGACTCTGGCCAGTGTACAGCCAAACAAATATAACAATATTTAGAAACAATTAAACCTAAATAAAAACTAAGGTTGCGGGAGGATAACAACCTCCTAAACACAATGCAGACATCTTGCAGGCACCCCATGGGATCCCCAAGGTTGTTGGAAGAACTATGTTTTAAGGGCTTTCTGGAAAACTGGTAAGGATGGGACTGACCTCACCTTGGAGGGAATGACGTCCAGCAGGTGTTTTCTCCAAACTCTGGAATTCTCCCATGCCTACCAATTCCACTTTTTATCTTTTGCGTGGCAAATGGTGCAATTTTAAATATAAGCCATGACTTTAGAGAAGGTAAGATTAAACTGACATTGCTTCCATACAATATTCAGTTAGTTTTCACAGCTTCTCCACTCCCCTTCCCTGGATTTCAACACATATGTAGCAAACCACATCTCTATCAAGTTTCTATTCTGAGAAACAGCCATTTGGCAGAAGTCCCTCTGGAATACTTTCTAGGCTTCTAAACCTACGGGCAATTTAAAATGGGGTGGGGTGGGGTGGGGTGGGGGAGAGGAATGGTTCCTAGCTGGGGGAACCTTTAAAAGAGAAAAAAAGAGTTACAGAGGGAAAGAGCCTTAACAGGCTGCATCTGTTCTGTTGGGTGATATATAAATATTTCAAAAACGGATTTAAATAAGAAATTTATGAAGCAGACCGACATACCAGGCAAGATCCACCGTGCAGTTGGCATGTATCTATTATTTTAATTTATTTATATAACAAATGGTATAAGTGTGTGTGTGTATGTATTAAAAAAAAAAAATTAAAATGATCGTCCAAATGTTTTTAATGCAATGAAACTATCTAAAGCTCAGCACTCAAAACAAAGTTAAAAACAATCTAAAGGCATAGCCATACAAATTCAACTTCATACCTAGGTAAAGCTACCGGATCTTTAGCTACCACTGAACATTTGTAAGAACTGGTACCAGCTATAACGAAGCAGAGAAGTTGATGGCTGAACAGGCCATCGCATCACAAAAAGTCCCTGTATTGAGTCCCTGAATCTTAGGCTGTTCTTAAGGATTGGGTAAAGAGCTGATCTTCCCTTGCAGATATCCCTAGCTGATATTTTAAAGCATTTGGATCCTACGTCATGACAAGCAAAAGTCACCCCCACCCTCCATCCTTAGTTGGTAAGAAAATAGGAATTCTTGGAATTGTTTTTGCCCCAGTAAATTCACCAAGACATCTCCCTGAAGGATTTGCATCGAAAGAATTAAAAAGAGGTGAAAACATCATCATTGTCCTGTTTGCTTAGTCCTTCCCAGGGTGTCCTGGTCAGACTCCTTCAAATGCCATCTTTACTCTGCATTTCCATCAGCACGTGGTGCATTTGTTCTGAAATTCTTGGAGAGGCTTAGGGTTTTAACATTTGCAGGTTGCAAACGGCTAATGCAGGTGCTGGACTTGACTCCTTGATTCTTCAACCTGAACTACATTTTCTCAATCCAGACCGGGGCAGTTTTTTGTGGAAAATTGCCCTCCATCCCAAAATCTCTGGTTGCCACGAAAGGATGATGTTTGTATGGGTGGTGAACCTGCAGCAGCTTTTTCTTTCCTGAAATAAAAGTGGCCAGACTGAACATCTTTGCATTTTATTTTACTTTTAAGATTCCCTCCAACCTGCAAAACAAGACCGAAGAGGCTGATTTACACGGACACTTTTTTTTTTTTTTTAATCCATTCCAATGTGTTGTTTTTCTACCTCTAATGGTAAAGAAATAAGTGCTTGGCTGGGAAATGGGCATGCCCAGACATGCGGAGAAAGTCCATCATCCAAACCTAGGCATATTTATGCTGTGCAGAAAAATCTGTTAGGCAGACTTTGGTACAACAGACATTAGATAGAAGACTTCACATAACTTTACTAACAACCCCGCAATTTTACTAACTAGATTGCTCTCTCTCCTGTCCCTTGCATGGGCAGCTCTTGTTATGATGAACAGCAGTTTTTCCAAACACCCTAATGCAAATCCCTCATTTGGAGCTGTAGAAATTAGCCATTTTTTTTTCTCTCTCTCCCTCTCCCCCCCCCAAAAAAAAAAAGATTTAGTAACATGGAGCATTGCTGCCCTCCTGTGGTTCTGTTGCAATCATGCACTGAAAACATACACTGTTGGAGAACCATCTCTTTCCCCTGCCAGAAAAGAGATGAACCTAGAAATTTACATGTTTAGCCAGAGTTGCATATGCCCATAAAATACATGGATGTGGCTCTGAAAAGTTGTAGAGAATTGCAATTTTTAATGTGACGTAAGGGAAATCGTACTCAATATAGTGGGAATATCAATGACATGCATTTAATTGTTTATATTTGTATTCAGTTTAAATAAAAGCACTTTTCACTCTTGTCTCAGAATTGTCCACTGTGCTGTTCTTTCTGTCCCGCTGTCCCCTCCCCTTATCTGCTTCTGGGACATACTCAGTCGACCTCTGGAATACTCGAACGGACCCGTTTTATATGTGCATGGATCCATGCATCTATGTCATATTTGTACACTGCCACAATCAAGAATTACAGAGGTTTACCACAATTAAAGCAACAGAAAATATGAAATCCATAACAATAAAACAATAATAAAAATAGTAGAGTATTATTATTATTTTATATCATAACAACAACAAAAATAAGTGCATTTAAACAAAAAGAAGAAAGAGAGCTGTCAGTCCAGTAATCCCAGTGTTCATTTCCAAAGGTGATAGTTTGCAATGTTTGGATCCAAAGTGGGAAAGATTCTTAGCTGCTACATTTGAATTAAAGAGGCACTAACAAGATGCAGCCCCAACGCTGTCATCCTCTTGCTGCCTTTGCATTGAGCCCAGGAAAAGGACCAGTAAGTGTGTCCAAGACATTTTTGAAGCCCCTCTCCCACTCTGAATTGGAACGCTGCCCGCCTCTACCCAAAGGCCCATGGAATTATGACACGGTCTGGACTTCTGGCTGGGAGCTGTCCCACGAGATGGAGGCCACCACAGAAAAGCCTCCAAGCCTCTTGCACATGGAGGACCCAAAGCAGACCCAGGATGTGCAGGAGGGACTAGTTATCCACGGAGGAGGCACCCCAAAGGTATTTAGCAGGTGAGCAAGGTAGGGCTTTAGAAGTTAAAATCAGCACCTTGATTTCTATGCAGAAACCTGTTGGGAGCCTTCAATATAGCTGTTACATGGGCATAGCAGTTCTCACATGTTAATATACAGGCTGCACCAGTTACGTTTTCTAAATAGTCTTCAAAGGAGGCCCCAGGTAATGAACACTGCAGTAGTCCAGTCTAGTAGCGACGACAGCATGAGTCACGGTCATAGGGATTCCAGCTTTAGGGAGGGCTGCAGCTGGTGCACTGCCTAAAGCTGACTGAAGGTCCTCCTTGCCATGGCCTCTGGCTGCAAATCCAGCCACAGCTAAGACTATGGAGAACTTCCAAACACTCTGTCCAGGGTCTCCCCGGCCTCCAGGGGCCGGGCCAAGATGTCCGTGGCATCTCTGACCATCACAGCTCCCCTCCCCAGCAGTTGCATATAGATGTTAAATAGGAGGGGCAGGAAGACCCAAGTGCGACTACTGCACCGTTCAGAATGGCTGAGCCTAAAGTCAGACTAACCCATTCCAGGGTCAGAATTTCTGGGGCGGCATGTTTTCCGCACCCTGAACATTCTGAGATTTGCACTACAAGTAACAAAATTAAGACCAGCCAGAGGAGAAAATACAGCCCTAGCTGGCAGCTCCAGGGAGGAGCCATGGGCCACGATTCAGAATCTGACTCCGACTCCAACTCTGACAACGTTGGTCCAGCTGACCCTGTGGATGGTCAGCCTCACGAACCATCAAGCCACGATTCATCTGAGGCTGATCAACCACAGGCATCTCCTGATCAGCTGGAGCGGTTGGATGACGAGGCACGGCCCCCAAGCCCCAGGTCTCGACACATGCAGCGGCAAGCAGAGCGACACTACTCAGTGAGGCTTCTCGCTAGGCAAAGGGTGAGGGCTGGATAATTGCACCAGCTGCCTGCAGATAGATCTATGTAGCCACTTTGCCTTCAGCCTTGTTGGAATCAACCATCTGGAATCCCAGCTCGTGACTCTCGTTCCTGTGTTTCCTTGCTCTTCAATCCTTGACTCTTGGACTGGCTGACTACCTGACTTGGCTCTCTGACTCCTGGAATGAATTTGGACCATTCTCTTGCTACCTGAATTTCAAGCGGAATTATTCAGGCAAGCCCGCTGTGCAAAGACCCTGATTTACAATCTTGTCTGCCGTTACCTGCCTAGCTGTAGTAAATAACTCCTTAGCAACTGTGTCTGCGTGCGTGTCTGCAACCTGAGTCAGAACAGGGGGTTGTAAGGATGGACCGAAGGGGCAAGAAGGGCAACACGCAGGAACTAATAATGTAGAGGGAAACGGGAACCAGTAATGGCTGCCACCCAGGCCTCACTCACCTCCCCGACCTCCTTGCGGATGTTGACGATGCGAAACCAGTGGCAGAGCTGTGGGAAGCCCTCTAGCTTGGCATTTCGCTCCTGCAGTGCTACCTTCCGCTTGCAGGACAGCTGACGACTGACGTATTTCACCAGCTTACTCTGAAAAGAGAGGGAGAGAGGGGTTAGCAGGGAAATCATGACAACTGATTAGCGAAGGAGATTCCCCGCCACCCCAAGCGCATCTTTCCTAAGTTTTCCTCCCACTGTCTAATATGTGGGTAGCCAACACTGGGGCAGGGGGGTGCGTTCACGTCTTTGTTTATAAATCTTTCATCCGTGTTATTTCTGGAAGCCATCCCAAAGTGGTACTGAGTCTTTCCTCTGACCCCCGCTCTTTAAAAAGCAAAAAAAAAAAAAAAAAAAGGATTTTGGGAGGAGACCCAGCAACACCAATGTAAAAAGTAAAGCCTTTCTAGCAGGGCCCAGCTCCTAGTTACTTTCAGTTTTCTTGGCAACAGTATGCCCATTCTGCCTTTTGGGATTACCTGGTGGTCCCCCATCCACAAATCCACCTCAGAAGAGCTTTGCCAGGTCAGCCAAGGTTAGTTCGAGGCTGCCACCTGGCTGGGCTAAACAAGGATAACATTGTGGAGTCCTTGGGGTTCTCTGAGCACCCCAAGGACTCCAGAGTTCAACCCTGAGCTACACATATTCACCTCTAAGGGGAATTTCTCAATAGTCATTTTTTTATCACTCATGCAATATTAAGCACCCTCTTTTATAGACAATAGCTCTGGTGCTCTTGTCCTTTTATCTCAGATATGTTCACCTTCAAAAGGTGAAGCTGGTGACAGGCAGGAAGAGGTCCTTGCCAATGACAGCGCCCCACATTTTGGAATGCTTCCGCTCCCCCTCCGGATTCCTTGTGGCTAAGTCTGAGCTGCCAACTGAAAACCGTTTTTCCTGCTGGAGATTTTTAAGGCACAAATATTCTTTCTGCTTTCATTTTCCCCTTGCTGCCTTACGGGCTGTTTGGTCCACCTTTCATACTTTATTTATTCTGTTTGTGGATGTTCATGTGATCCCCACCTATTGCCCCCAAAGAATAAAAACTCTCCCCATTTCCCCCCCTCCCCAAACAACAACTCACTGAGATAGGTTGGGCTGCAAAAGCAGGGAGCTTCTGTGGCTAACGGTGGACTTGAATCTAGCTTTCCCTGATGCCAGTCCAACAACTCAACCGCTCTACCATACATCAGCCTCACATTATTTCCCAGGTGATCATTATGGTACACATTTGCACATATAATCCCCCCTGCCCCAACACTTTGCCCCCAGAACGAGGTTTCCCCATACTACAATTTCAGACACTCTGTTGGAAAATGAAGCTCCTCTTTAAAATCAGGGGGCTGGCAGTTTCCCAGGAGTCCAATTTTAAAAACAAAAAAGATGATGCTTATTTGATGAGGAGGTTTGCTTAGTGGTTAACCAATTCCTCAAGCATGGTGGTTTCCCACTGGGAGTTCTGCTTAGGTAGAAAAGTTACAAATGTATAGCTTGGACTTAAATGTTCCAGTTACAACCTGTTATTTCTGTCTCTTGGGTTGTGGAAAGTTTCTGTCCTGGAGTCCCTCCATATATAGCATATCCTGCAGTGTTTCTCACCTTTGGGGACTTTAAGGTGGAAGGACTTCAAGTCCCAGAATTCCGGGACTTCAAGAATTCATGGCTGGCTGGGGAATTCCGGGAGCTGAAGACCACACATCTTAAAGTTCCCAAGGTTGAGAAACACTGATATACTGTATAACTGCCCAGAATCACTGGGAGTCAGGCAGCATATATAAATTTTAATAAGAATAAGAACAAGAAGAGGAGGGAGAAGGAGAAGGAGAAAGAAGGAGAAGGAGAAGGAGAAGGAGAAGGAGAAGGAGAAGGAGAAGGAGAAG